TTTTTGAAGAAACTAAAATCTTCCTATTTTGTATTACTAATAGATGAAACAACAAATGGATGCTCAGGATGCTCATTTTATACCATATGTACAATATGATGTTGAAACGTGTTAGGGAGGAGTTGTTGTTTTGGCTGCCCTAACTAGCTTTACAAAGCAGTCATGAAAAAAAATGAATTTATATATGTGAAAGTGCTGTAAAACTTCAAAGTCTTTCATTAGAGACCTGTTGATATTTTTCATATTAGAAATAAAAAGTGATAAAATATGAAATACTTATTAATTTTAAAATAATAAACCAATTATATGTTAATATGAATAACATTTTAAATGGAAAAATAACTATTTTCCAAAACAAAAAATATTTAATGGCATTATTTTTACATATGTTTCTGAATCTCCTTAATGTCTGGCTTAATTAATAGAAGACCACTGGATTCTCATACCTGCTTTTGCATTCAGTTCATTTTATGATTTTGGTTGAAGAAAATCTAGTCTCATACAAATATGTAATTGGAAATTTTCAGGGGTGTATTTTAATAGGCAAATAACATCTTAAATATTATTGTGAATAGTATTATTATAAAAGTAGTTTTGACCTCATGGTCCCCCTGAAAAGGGTCTCTGACCACCCTTGGAGAGCTGCTGCTCGAAATAAATCCAGGCAAAGTCTTTGAGTTAATACTGTGTTCTACATGTGAATATAGAATGATAAAATAAATATATTTGTGAAAAAGTTTAGAGATAACAGATAATTCACCAAATTAGGTTTTTATGTTTCTTAGTTTTAAATTTTAAAAATTCTGCCCACCAGTGAAATAGAAAGTAAAGCTCTACTTCCTAATGACTTGTCTACAAAAGCAGTTTTTGTTTTATTTTAAATTTTAGATATTTCTAAATACTAATCATTGTATAAGCTATGAACTAATTATATATTTCACACAATATTAGAGTGGGAAGGGACCTCTACATCCACCGTCAAATCCATGCTCAAAATGAGAAGCCCTGTTATGCCATATCTCTGTTTCATGAAGTGATACAGCTCATCATCATCATATAGTCTCTACTTGAAGACCTCCAAGGGGAGGAAGTCTTTCACCTTCTGAGACGGTCCTTTCTGCATTTGGACAGCTCTAATTGTTAGGAAGCTTTTCCTGATGTGAAACCTGACATCACCTTCCACCTCTTGCTCTTGGTTGTGCCCTCTGGGACCAAGGGGAAGTCTAATCTTTCCCTTACACAATAATCTTTTGTATACTTAAAATTGCAGTCACATCTAATCATGCGTGTTCTCTTCAACTGTCCTTGTACAGCTTGAACTCGAAGCCTTTCACCATCCTGGTTGCTCTCTTCTTGATGCTCTCCAGCTTTTCAAACTGGGGTTTTCAGACCTGAACACTTCCAGATGTGGTTTGATCAGGTTGTCGGCAGCAACAGCAGCAGGCAGCAGCATACCTAACATTTATACAGTACTTTAATGTTTGCTGCACTTTTTAAAAAAAAGTTTATTCTCACAACCATGTGAGGCAGGTGCTATTATTTTCCCCCCTTTGTAGATAAGGAAATTGGGACTCAGAGGTTAATTGACTTGCTAAGGTCAGACAACTAATGTCTGAAGCAGCATTTGAACTCTGATCTTTCTGAGTCCACTATGAATACAGAAAATTATCATCTCTTTTCCCCCAGTTCTCCTTTCTTCGTAACTTTCCTGTTACTATTGAGGATATTACCATCTTGTCCACAAAATAAGGGGTATCAAATGCTTTACTAAAATTTAGGTAAACTGTATCTACAGCCTTCCTGATCTACAAATTTAGTGAACTTGTCAAGAAAGGACATGACATGAGCTGTCTTTCATGTGATATTGTATGGGCCCATTGTAATAACCACTTCCTTTGTTAGATGTTCCTAGTTATCTCTTTAATGATTCATTCTAGTATTTTCCTAGGAATCAAAGTTCACTGGCTTATGCTGTTATTGCTGTATCTGAACAAGAAAAGTTAATAAACTTGTGATGTAGTACATTGAAAGAAGCATTTGACTCCCAAAATAATTTTGTCATAGGTGAATAAATAGTACTCTGGTTTATCAAATAAGTGATATATATTTTATTAGTATTCATAACATTGTAATACCTAAATGGCTTTGTGCTCTCATCCATCTGAATTGGAAGGAATTTCAACAATGCAGTTCACAACCCATTGCAACAACCCAACGTATGCAACTCTTGTCCACGTCCTCCTGTTATGTTGCTATACCCAACATGCTATGGTGGTCTTTTTGGTTTTGTCCTGATGTTTAAAGGATACCAGTGGACCAGTCTGTCTGTCCACTTCTCAATATTTAGTGGCTTCATTACAAAGGTGGAAATGAAAGAGGGTACAGACTTGTAGAGTCCACAGAAGTTGCATGTCTTTTTATATGATTAGTACTTTCTTTGAGGTAATCATAGTAAGTGCTAGATAAGATACAACGAACAGTGAATCACATCACCAAAAAAAAATCTTAAGAGATGGGAAAAGACATTATTGATGCGGAGTCATTCATCAATCAACTTTCTTGTGTGTGTTCAGAACACCAGTTTGTTAGACTAAAGTTCAGAATCAGTTTAAAAAACAACTGGAAGAAATTGAGAAAAAATGTAGCCTATCAATCTAAACAGCTGTTCTGAGCTAATTAAACAAATAATAAAGAAAATAAAGGACAAAAGAACATTAACACCAAGTATTATAACTTCATACATAATCTTAACTGATGTAAATCAGTTGTTATAACAAGGAGACCAAAAGAACCTAAAAAGTGACTTGATCAGCAAACACTTGATTGACTTGACTGCCAAGTGAATAGAAATGAAGGGCAAAGCCACACTGGTTGAGAATACAAACTCATTTGTAAACTCTTATGAAGAAGTTTGATAGATGATTATGAGCAGTATCACTTCATAAAGCAGAGAAAAGCAGTAGATGGTAAAATCAGTCGTAAAGAAAGCTTGGTGAAAGAGCCAACTAAGCAAAGTTAACCTAAATAAGTAATATTTTGTTTGTGTAAAACTGTTTTCTATTATAGCTACTATGAAAACAAAATGTCCATCTTGATTGATTGGTGGTTGAAAAAAATCACAGTACAAAATTACAAAAATTACAACACGGACACCATATTTTAATAAACTTTGCCTAAGAAGTCTACTTATCATATCATATCATAATAACAGAAGTAATAAGGTTACTTTTTAGCAGTTAAAGATATTAAGCTTATAAAAGATTTCCCAATAAATGTATTAAAAATTGTAATAAATGTTATTTAGATAAAGTAAGAACTCAGAAAATTATTCACATGGATTATTTCCTGAAAAGTGTGAGGCAAGACAATTATAAAATAAACCAAAAGAAGAGGATTTCACATCAGCTGCAAAAAAATTAGAAACTACTCTGTAATGGGGTTCTATAATATGTATATGTATGTTCATATGTGTATTTGTCTGTAAGGGATTACTGATCACGCCAGTCTGGTTGAGTTCATTTGGCTAACTCATGGTATGTAGGGTACCATAATTGTAGGTCTGAACCTTGACCAGTTAATTCTCTTGAGTATAAAAATTATGATAACATTTTATTCTTATTAAGGTAGTTGTCTTAAAGGTGCATGCCAAGTTATTCACAAGAGATTGTATAAGGATTATGGATAGCTCTGGACAACTAATCCTTAGTAAGGACTCAATACCTGCTCTATAGACGGGGGATTACTTAAATCATAGAAAAGAAAGTACATTCTTGTTTTACTTCTTGAGTTCCCAAATACCTCATTTAATAAAAACAAAAAACAATGGCTTAATTACATTATAATCTAATTATTTGCTTGACCCTACCTACTGGTCTAACGAAGAAGGGAGGAGAAAAATGTGCGAACACGCACATTTTTAAACTTTGATTTTGAAAGCTTCCCAGTGAAGAAACCTCCTCTACCTAGACTAATGGCAGCTGCTCTGCAACTTGCATACTTAGTGTTTAAGGTACTGAATTTGAATGACTTATGCATAATTATATAGCTGTTATTTGACAGAAGCAGGCCTTGAGCCCCTTACTCCAAGGACCACTTTGATAAGATTGAGTGTGTTGTCAAATACAAGTTTGCCTGGTAAAATTGTAGGACATGTACATAGATATTAAGAGCTTTGAGAAAACAAATACCACACCTCCTAAATTGCAAAGTCGATTTTAGCAATTGAGTGACTTGCCCAGGTTCACACAGCTAATAATTGTCTGAGGTTGGCTTTGAACTCAGGTCCTCCTGACTTTAGGACCAGTGCTTTATCCACTGTGCCACCTAGCTGCCCCAATAATAGATTTATAATTAAAAGAGTCCTTAGATATCAACTGCTATTACATTTGTAGATTAAAATTTTTTCTTCTTAAAATTGTTAGTTCGTGGACCTGTCTGGTAGATTTGGAAGGACTGAATATGAGGCATTTATGGAGACCGGGGGTGAAAGCACTACTCAGAATCATTGAAGTTGTTGAAGCCAATTACCCTGAAACATTGGGCCGCCTTCTTATACTCCGTGCTCCAAGGGTATTCCCTGTCCTGTGGACACTGGTGAGTTTGAAAACTAAGCTAGTTGCTTTATCATTTGAAAAACACACATATATTTATGATTATGTGGTAGTGAAACTTAGCAAAAGAAGCAAAGAAAGATTTTTTTTTGAACAGAGACAGAGCCCTTTATTTATTTGTGGAACCCCAAGGCCGAGGCCCCAGTATGTTAAATATTGGGCATAGCACTGAGCCCCAGCCCTCCCCATTGCCAGGTGGGGAGCAAGGCCGACCTTTGGGGCAGGTCTTGCCCAATAGCCAAGCCAGCAGTATACATGACCCCCCAGCTTGCTGGACACTACTCCTGCCGGGGCAGCAGGGAATCAGTTATGGAGCTGTTTCCTTGCCATGCCCAGCTAGCTTCCCTTTTGAATGTGGAGCCAGGCTGACTGTTGGTGGCAGGAGAGGCTCTAGTGATCTGACCGAGGTGCCAAGGACGAAGCTCCTTCAGATGCTTCTTCCCTTGCCCAAGTGAGTGGCCTCAAGAGAACTGAGCTTGCCTGGGAGCCCTTGAAGGGCAGCAGGGAAGAAGAGGGCATCAGGGTGGATGGGGTGAGTCCACTGACAGCTGGGCCTGGAAGTGGGTGGGAAAATAACATGGAGCCTGGATGTCTAGCAAGTCAATATATCTCCTGTGAGAGAAGTGACTGAAAGAGAAAGTAGGGAAACCAGCTGCTCCTACCTTTGGGCCCCAGCCCATTCCTGGTAACTAGCACAGTGAGAGATCAGAGGGCTCAGGGAGGGTGAGACTGTGTGTGTGTGTGCGCGCGCACACATGCGCCCCCCACCCCAGTGTGTGTACCTGCTTGCACTATGTCTGGGGAGGCAGAATGGGCTAGGCCCTGGCCAGCTGCTTCAAGCCCAGCCTCAATGGGCCTCCACAGGTAGGAGCCGTCCAGGTGCAGGGACGACATGTCCTGGCAGAGGCTCATGTCTTGGCACAGGTGCAGGTAGTCTTGGATGGACTCGTGTAGAGAGCACAGCTGGCACAGCAGAGACATGTCAAGCTGGCGGAGGCCTACCATCTCCTTCCGCAACACTGCCAGAGCCAAGTCCAGGTTGGCGGGGTGGTGGGGGCTGTGAGGGTCCCTCGGGGGCGTGGCCAGCCTAGCCCAGCTCATCCTGGGTGCAGTTCTGCTGGCTATACTTCAGGTCCCTCCACAAGCTTGAGTTGAGGAGGCCACTGAGCTCCCAGGGCAGCAGCAGGAGCCCCTCCAGTGAGCACCCAAGGGTGCAGGTGTGGACTCAGAGGCCCCCCTTACCCCTGCAACCTGTTCATGGGTGTGACGGGGGGGGGGGCTGGCAAGAAAATGGGCCCCAGCACCCAGCCTCATTTCTTCCTCCTTCTCCTCTGGCCTTGGCCCGGCCCGGCCCCGGTGCTGCTGCCCCCAGCAAAGAAAGATTTTTTAAGATTTTCTTAAGTCATAGACTGTTATTAACAAAAATAATGACAAGAATTTTGACAATGTATTTGGAGAGAATATGGTAGAGGGAAGGATGGGAGACCAATTTCTTAGACTCCTTAGACAGACTTGCTTGGTTCGTGGAGCTGTTTCCTGGAATTGAACAATAGCAAATAATGCTGTCTGTGGGCTGAGAGGTTACTCTTGCCCCCGAAATTACCTCTGGGAAGAGAACAAATGATTTGCAGAGGGCACCAAGGAAAGTAGCTGTATACAACAAAATGGAGATCAATTTAGTTCTGTCAGACCAGTAAATAGATTTCATTCTGACAGTAAAACAAAAGGGTAGAGTACTCTGCCCTGTTGAAAGCTGCATAATCTACTTCTTAGTTCTTGAATATAATTCTGCTCTCTCTGGTATTGCCCTGATATTATGGCTGGGATTTGATTCAGTCACTTTGCAGAAGTCATTACTAGCTGATTTTTCCCCCCTTGTCTGGTTTCATTGCTTGTAGCAGTGCTGTTTGAAAATAAAATGGATGTATGTTTTTGATAGTCAGGCAAGCCTTCAAGGCCAGGCCACATGAGGTTTCTGCTTCAAAGTGTTTTCGTTTCTTCCTTTAGTTTTATAGTCTCCTTTCTTCTTTTCTGTCTCTCTTCATATGGCTTATCTTTTTTCTGATTTGAGGAGGCCTAGAGTCTTCTGATCTCTCCCTCATGTTGATTTCTATGGGGAAAGATGAAGAGAGGCATGTCAGACCCAGCCTCCCCTTTGAGCAGAACCAGTAGTCTCAAACACCATTTCACCTTCTGACAACTATCACCTTACCTCCTGGGATAAAAAAGCATCTAGAATAAAATTAGTTGACTTTCTACATAATTTGGTACCATGCTAAAGTACCTTACAGAAAAACTATGTAAGAGTCTATTCTTAACCTTTAAATGTAATTTTAAAAGTCTTTTCTGTTGTTTATAGGTTAGCCCATTCATTGATGACAACACAAGAAAGAAGTTCCTTATTTATGCAGGCAATGACTACCAGGCTCCAGGGGGCTTGTTGGATTATATTGATAAGGAAATCATCCCGGATTTCTTGAGTGGAGAGTGTATGGTAAATATTTAAGCATATAGAATATTAGACTTTTTTCCAAGAAAAAATAAGGCAGCTGTTAATTTTTTGCATGAGCAGTTATTGTAATTTACTGGGTTTTGTTGAAGTATCTCCTATGTAACTTTATTTTTGCCAAATATTGAAGGTTTACCAAATGCTAATTTCTGTATTAGCAAATATGAAAGTTCATGTGATACAGAATCTTATACTGATGTAGTTTTATGCATATAGAGCTGCTACATAAAGCCAAATTGTAAGTTAAATCATATTTTAAATGTATCAAAGAATTTTACATTTAAAAGACCCTTAATGAAAATCCCTTTACAATATAAGAATCTTTGGAAAACCAAATAATGAAATGCCAAATAAATCTTATATGTAAATCTGTTTTTTCTGCCATTTCATTTAAGCTCTTTGAGAGTTTGGATCATTTCATTTTTTGTCTTTGGATCCCCAGCACTTAGTATAGTGACTGGCACATAGTAGATTAGGTGCTTAATAAATGCTTGTTTATTGACTGATTCATATGTTGGATTTTACTGTTCTATCATTGAAAATTGTTTAGTTATTTTCAGTCATATCTAACTTTTTGTGACCCTATTTGGGGTTTTCTTGGCAAAGCTACTTGGAATGGTTTGCCATTTCCTTCTCCCCCTCATTATACAGATGAGGAAACTGAGGCAGATATGTAAATGACTTGCCCAGGATCACACAACTAGTAGTTGGCTGAGACCAGATTTGAACTAGGGAAGATTACTCTTCCTGACTTCAGGCCCTGCACTCTATCCACTATGCCATCTAGCTGCCCCATTGAAAATTGAGAAAGCAATAAAAAAGTGGTAGACTATGGATATGGCATGATAGATGTATTGCATGTCTGTCTTTTGGTTTGGCTTAACTGGTTTTGGGTTTTAGGGGAGTTTGGTTATAAAGAAGGGTCATTTGGAAGAGATGCTATTGGGAAGTGACTTGTTTTTAGGCAGCATCAGTACTTTTTTAAGTCTTACAAAATAAAGAAGAAGAATTATTACAAAACCTACAGATATTTCCAGATAAATATCTATGTAGATAGAAATAACACTTGTTGATTTTTTCGAGATAGCACTTACTCTTTTAATTTGAGGTTTTTTGTTTCGCTTTATGGTGAAAATTCTTGCTTTACAATTCAATTTCCCTTTTACCTGTCAGATTTTGAAATTTATCCTGTCTCTTCTCCACAGACAATTTTATATTCTTTTGAGACTTTTTTAAAACTTAAACCTTACTTCCTGCTCATATCATCATATTTGATCTTAAACATATGTGGCTTACATGTTCTTTTAGTTGGCTGTGATGCATTTCTTAAGTTTTGTGTGTGTGTTTTGGAGGTAGAGTTATTCAGTTAGGCTATATTTTGGCTATTCTGAATAATTCAAGCAAAACTACTTTTTTGGCTGTATAGATATATATCCCATAATATTAGAACACAATCTTAGAATGTTACAGTTGGAGGAAACTTTTGTGATACAAACCCCATCATTTTATAATTATTAGAACCTGGGGCACACAAAAGGTAAGTGATTTTATCCAAGGTCACACAGCTAGAAGGGATGGTATCACACAGTAGCAACTGAAGCCAACCTCAAATGAAAATTTTCTGTGATTTGGTATGTAATTATCACTATAGAAAGAAGTTCATGGCCCTGAATATTAGGTATCTATTAAGTAAATACCTAATCTTTTGAAATATGTGTACTTTGAATTTGCCTCATTTGTTTAGTTAAATTGGGATCCCAGAAAATTATTTGCCCAGATGAATAGGTGGCTAAAAAAGACATTTGAATCAACTTATTGATTTATCATTCTTGCTTAGAGGAAAATACAGTCATCTGAAACACAGAAACAAGAAGCAATTAAATTAGAAGTCGATAATTCATCAGATGATTACCATGTGACATTATTAGAGCACATCTATAGAAAAGGATAACTTGTTTTATTTATATAAGAAATAGTTCCTGTCTTGTTGCTTACATATATATACTGGGTGTGTTGAAAAAGAATACTAGCTGTGAACAAATTTTGGCCGTATTTATTTCCTCTATGGCAATGCCTTTGGTATTCACAAAGATCACTTGATAGCTAGTAGGGATAGTCATATTTAGGTATTATGTTACCTCTTTGTATTTGAGCTGTATTATTCACTCTAGTATTTCAGAGTAGATCACTTATTTTAAATGGACTAGTCAGTATACTGTATAGCTAGCTAGGTGGTACAATGGATAGAGTACTAGACCTGTAGTCAGGAAGACCTGAGTTCAAATCCATCCTTGTACATTTACTAGCTGTGTGACCCAGGATAAGTCACTTAGCTAATGTCTGCCTCAGTTTTTTCTCGTCTATAATATGGAGATATAAATAGCACCTATCTTGCATGGTTGTTGTGAAAATAAATTGCAATAATATTTGTAAAGTACTCCGCAAAGCTTAAAGTGCTATATAAATGCTAGTTATTTTTATTAGCTGTTGTAGTTTAAATACATAAAGTTATCCTTCCACACTTGTGCTCTTATAACTCTTATGTAATTTTGTCAGTCAGTTAAAGCTGTACCATGGCCCCCCAGTGTGACTAACTACACGCTTAAGCTCTAGTATTTATTTCTATAGTTGTTCAAAATACCAGTGGCAGTGATTTTTGTTAGTGCAGGGAGTCCATGAATTTTATGAACTTTGGAATCAAGCAAGTCACTGGGGAAATTTATAAAATGTGAAGTTTCTGACTTCAGTTTCCTTTACTAAACAAAATTAAAGGAACAAGTATCTTGTTTCCTCCTCTCAGTAGTTATAGTGTAGCCTTTTGACTTATGGTTAGGCTAAAGTTTTGGTTTTTTTCCCAATACAGTATAATTTTTTAAAGTAGTTACACATCATTATTATTGTGCCATTGAGAATCCATTGAGAATGTTTCCTTCCCATAATTATTATACTTCTTTTACGATTGAATAAAAAGTACTATAGTAATTGAGTGAGGAACCTTCTACATTCAAGTTTGGCAATGATTTTTTGGTTTTAACTTGTTCTCATTTAATCAAAGGAAGGTTTATATATTTAAGCAGCTTGCAGAATACTTTCCTTCATTCTAGAGAATATTTTGCTTCAAAGATATTATTTTCCTTTTTCTAACCATTTCATAGGAGTAAAGCATATCAGGGTGGATGTTTGCCAGTATGTTTGGTTTTCAGAATATTAGTATGTGTTTCTAGAACTTTACTTGGTTTATTTATATTTCTAGTGTGAAGTGCCAGAGGGTGGGCTAGTTCCCAAATCTCTGTACAGGACTGCAGAGGAACTGGAAAATGAAGACCTAAAACTCTGGACTGAAACCATCTACCAATCTGCAAGTGTTTTTAAAGGAGCACCACATGAGGTACTGACTGAACCCCCTTTCTTTGTACATGCCACCTAAAAATAAGTCTTAATTAACTACTGTTTCAGCTGAAGGAGGAAAAGGGAAAACTTTTTCATTAGTATATTGTCCTAATGAGAGCAGTTAGTTTGGAAGATTTAACTGAGTAGCTTCTTCATAGCAATTGAGAAATTAATGCTATTACCAAGGTACAGTTATTACTTGAAGTATAGGATAGATATATTCTGCAATATTGACCACAAAGCCATCTGAGAAAATATTAAACTCCATTTCCTCACTGAGATATTATTAATACAGTAAAGGAATATATTCAGGGGAATAAAGTGTGGGGGAAGAAGAGAAACACACTTCTCCTTGCTGTTAGAATAGAAAATTTGTGCTTCCCCTAGTGTAGCTCGTAAGATTTATGAAGCTAGAAGCTGGAGATGCCTATTCCCTGACATGGGGCCTAGGTACCTTCTTTGAATTTGGCAATGATACCTTCCACATTGTATGTGTAAATATATGCTGTATAAGACAAACTCATGTCCCATATTGCTAGCGTCTCTCCTAATACAGTCTGCACATTATATTTTTGCAGCATGTCAGTAGCATAATTATGTTGTCATGTAATTGAACAGCAGGTAGAAAATAGGTACGTGAAGTCGGAGCAATATTCTAACCCTCTCCCTATGCAAGTTAGGCTATTTTTTCCTTAAAAGGTATTGAAACCATCTGTGAGACTTAATTGGCACAGGGGAATAAAGGCTCAAGCTGGTAACATTACTTTTTTGTCTCCTGAGTACGAATCATCGACAGAAGCTCCATGCTATCTGACTCTTAGCTGGCAGACCACTATGGGCAACTTATAGACAAGGGAGCTTTGCTTATCTGAATAAACTTGTAGTCTCTTCAATGCATATCATATCCTCATTGAATATCATTCCCCTATTATGGTTAAGTAAATCTCCTTTTTGTTAGCTAGTGGATGACCTATACAAGTGTCTATTTTGTTTCAATGTCATACTTCAACTATCAGAGGACTGGCTTGAGTCAGACCCAGCCCATAACAGTATGCCTTATTTAAAATATCTATAAGGTAACATCAGAATTCTGTTCAGTAAGTCTTGAGGGTAAGGTAATCTGTGTCCACTTCATTCTCTACTTTATACCACTGAAATGGAATTTTGCATATGATCTTACACACTTTGCAGTATACTTACATCCTTTTATTATTAGGGAATTGGCCTTGTGGGGAGGGAGGGAAAATGTGATATTTTTTTTTGTATGTGTCTTTTATAAAGTAATT